GCTGGAGTGAGATCAGAACGCGGTAAACCTAAACCAAGTCAGTTCATGATCCGCGCCAGGTTAGGTCATACCAACCTTGATCACGACAGGCTCCCATCAAGCACGATCAAATCGGAAAGATCGCCCACCGAATGGGACAGTTAGATCACGAGTAGTCCTCGAGCAGATCAGGCCAGATCACTGCGACAGCGACAGTGATCATTCGGTACAGCGATGTCCCGATTCACAGCCGCTACCCAGCCGTCGTCAGTCTGGATTAAAAGCCACGATGGGTCCAGAGCGGCAACGACGCTACTGCCAGCCCTCCACACCAATATCTGAGCTTCCACGCACGAAGCACTTCGCACGTTCACCATTCAGCAACATGGATGTTGTTATACGAATGGATCGAGACGAGGCGTTGGAAGGACGGGTGGGATATTTGTTTGAACATCGCCTTCCAGTCCTCTCGTACATACAATCACATCAGACTATGGTCAGAACAACCAGCCCATCGGTGACACATGGAGGCTGTGTTTTCGCTACGGTAACGTCCTGTTACACATGCGCTGCAGTCTAGTGGCACTAAAACGCACGAACCTTTGAATCAGAGTGTAACTTCATGTGAGCCATAGCTGGTCGGTGTACGACCAGCCTTTACAACCTGTTAATTTGAAGCTCGAGGTACATCGCGATCTTTAAAGCTTGAACATAAGGGATGCATTGCCAGCCACATGGTCTGTCGACGACTGTCGCTGTTTTGGTCATTGTTGGTCGGGGCGTATCGGTCAGAGGATCCCGTTAATCGCAAATGCGATCCCGGTGCCGAATGCCCTTGCTTTTCTATTGGCCGCCGGAGAAATGGCTGAGCCAATGGGGCACCGAAGCTATTGATAATACTCTGAACGCAAGAGTGCCCCAGCTAAAATACAGTGGTGACTGTGCCAGCTGGGATTTATGTCCTATGTGGTAAGCTAAGCATCTCAAACGGAGTGTCCCGCATGTGTATGGGTTATTGAACTGGAATAAGTTATCTTAAAGATCATTCGGTGCAGTTCACAAGCCTGCCCATCTCGAGACCCAAAACCCCCAAGCTTTGGGGCAACGCACCCGCAAAGACGTGCAAACTATTCCGCGCAGACTATTTCAGGTTTCCCAGTCATCGATGGCGCAAAAATGACGTCATTCAAATCCGTCATTCCCCTGACGGTGCGGCGCTCAGGGTTAATAAAAATATATTTGTCGAGTCGTTAATACCTAGCGTTCATGGGCATGATTTCCAGAAATAAAGGCCACCACTTGGGTCGCATCCCATGGTGTACAAGCTGTGTGAGATTCTAGTATGAATTACGTTTTGTGCTATATAATACAAGAAGTTATACATTTTTCCTAGTTATAACGGGAAAAAGACTTGCAAACCGGGCAGCTTAAGAATAGCGCAATAACCGTGCATGTGAATGCAAGTAGCCTCCTTAAACTCACGGATAAATACGCAAAAAACACCGCGAGAAAAGACGAAAACACGAGAGCCTAACGATATTTGATTCACCACACATCCAGCGCTGCCGCGGGCCACGAGATATTATTGTCGGGAGAGTGTTGGAGATTGAAAGTCTAAAAGTGAATGTTGTCGTACACGCGCTTCCATGGTGCAATAAAACAATAACGCATTGAGCAGCCTATTTGCCTAAAAAATGGGATTTTGTTGTCTGGAACTTTTTTTCCTGCTTGAAATTACACCAATAGCTATCAGTGAGCTTATTTCATAATGTCGGATGTTTGCTTTAATATCTTCGAATGTGGGATATTCCCTTTTAAAGTGTCAAAAGTTGAGGGGGGGGGGAGGGGGGTCGAGACGGGGTCGCCTCAATGGCCAACGTCAACCACAGAGTGGTAAAATTGTACTTTTTGTCGCTGACCGAATTTTTGCAGTCAAAATTATCGCCAGCAGCGTAGAGCGATACCAGATGACATAAAATGGTATGAAGTCCACTTCCAATAGCGTCATCAAGATTCAAACCTTTTACCGAGAGCCTCTGTCATCACCACGATTTTCAACTATTATGCACGCAACGAAAACGTCCAAGTATACGATGTCATTCAGCTAGTGACAGGATATTGCTGCTGCGGGAAAACGGGCGCACCGGCCCTAGTCTATGGACTGGCCCAATCACAACACTTTTCTTCCCCATCAAGATTTTGGCTTGGGCCTCAGTGTAAACTTGATCGAACGGCTGGATTGCTTCTTGGCCGCAAAAAAACCCAAAGACATGCGTAGGCCCAAGGCAGCCTGAGTACCACGTGGCAGAATTGAACCAGTGGAGGTAGTAGTAGAAGTGGTAGTGGTAGTAATAGTAGTAGTAATAGTAGTATAGTAGTAGATGGTAGTAGTAGCAATAGAGGTATAGTAGTATTAGTAGTAGTAGTAGTAGGTAGTAGTAGTAGTAGTAGCAGTAGTAGTAGTAGTAGTAGTAGTAGAGTAGCAGTAGTAGTAGTAGCAGTACTGGAGGATGACGTCCAATATGCGGGCGTCCTCGAGGCCTTCCCCTGATGAAAATCACGGTTGCGCTCCGAGCCCCATTTCAACCGTCATGAAACTATCTACCATACCTCGGGCAAGCTACAAGCCTGACGCATAATTTGCGTGGTGGGCTTTTTCGCAGTGCCCCAAAAAAGTAAATCGTGATGTTATTTGTTAATAGCTTCACATCAGGTTGCTTGTTCTTCCGGAACAACATGCTCGCTCTGACAGGAGGGCGAGGGGGTCGATGCGGCACGCCCCCCCCCCTCAAGGTTTTCTGAGGATACCAGTCCAGCATATTGTGCAGTCGCGCTCCAATCTTTGGCAGGCTCTGGGGCATCCATTGCGCGTGTGTGCTTCACAACTAGTACTTTATGTGTGCAGCAATTATGCTAAGGATTTCATCAGGACAATTGCTTTCAACTCAACGCTAGCAAAAGTAATAATGATATTGCATCTAGGCAAATGTCTTGCTAAGAAAGGCCAACAAATATGAATGAGCATGAACACAACAGGATGGTTCATTTCCAGAGCTTGCTTGCTGCAGTAAGAGTGTTATTATCAGCACATGGCCAACATCGTCCTTGCCTGCAAAGCCGCAGTGACGCTTGCAAAGTCGCAGTGTATTGAAAGTCACCACCCATCCCATATCAGTCGCACTTGCAACGATTAAAGCATGTTCCTGCTGCCAGATGAATCACCACATCCAGATCTTTCTCCAGTATTTCATGCCATTAGTTCGGGACACTGAGGGCCGGCTGTTAAAAGCAGCGAATCGGCTGACCGGCAGGACCATAGGAAATGCACCGATTTGTCGCCGACCTGTCACCAAGGCGAACGACCAACTAAAAATCATAGGATATTTATGTCGCCGGGACGGGAATGAAACCAAAAAAGATACCATGGTGTCGTAGGGCTCGGTGAAATTCCTTACGGAAAGGTTTGGTTGTGTTATTTGACGGAACGTGTTACCATGCAGGCACAATATCTATGTATGGAGGCCTCATGCTAGGTTTTGCAGAATGCGCCGTATCATTTATTTTATTTATCATTTATTTATCATATATTTTATCGCTTGGCGCTTCGTGGTGTGAGTTCATATAGATCATTGACGCACAAGCAGCTGCATCGATCAGATATCGTGTATTGATGTTCAGTTGGAGGAGAATCGGGGATACCCAGCGCCACCGAAAATGCGAGGTAACCACGCGCGCGCGAACCCTTGACTGTGGTGAGAAAAGCGATCACATTTCGTACCAAATTAAAAGTTTCTCTTTACGGCAAAAGACCTAGCTACGTACCACTACCTGTACATGATAAACTTAGCTGCACACACTGAACAATGAGAAAATCTCAGAAATACTTGTTCAACCTACAGGCATGCGTCGGTATTCCGCGCCTTCGTCAAATTGGACAGCTGCGTTCGCCAAAGGCCAATACCGGTGCTGGAAGCGACGCATTTGCTATGCAGATGCCGTGCAGTTTTCATCAGCCAAGCTCGTTCTAAGTCCAAACATGCGAGAATGCTTCAAGCGAGGAATGAACTGCGGTAAGCATCTGTTTACCTAGCAATTGGTCTCTTTCTATTGCCTTTGACAATGTAAATGAAAAGCCTCCACAGTGAGCATGGAATGAAATTAAACTAAACTTGCATGGTTTCGGAACAAAGGGGGTGCACTTGGGTGTGCTCTATGACGTTTATCGTCCAGACTGTAGTCGGTAAGCACAGACGAGTAGGAACGTCCTCAAACTGCCCCATGCGGGCCAAACCCGCATATGAAGTCGGCTCTTCCAGCAATTCCAGGAAAGGTGTGTGGGCATGTTCTCCCCAGCCTTCCTTCGTCCTACTTCACCCTTTGAGTGGTATAGGACAAGATGAAAGAAGGGGACCTACTACGACCTGCTATCTCGCGTCACTGGTTGATCAACACCAGACGTTAGTTTGTCTTCTCCGCTAAGTCGCGTCATTTTCATGACACCGTGCGCATTACCCTTGTTTATCTGATGGCGTTTGCTGCGTCTTGTTTGGTTTGTGACCCACGCGGCAAAATAGCACCGGATCGAACGGTTTACATCCAAGTGTCCAAGCATTTATATGTCGCAACGTTTAAATAATGACGTTTTGTTGTTTCCCAGCTGCGACCAATGCGATAAAACCCTGTGCACAAGTAAGCATATAAGCTTCTGGAAAACATGGCGATGGGCCCCGGCTAGTGTTTGAAAAAGTTGAAAAGGCTTTCCGTGGTTCTGATAAGGCTGGGTCGGTCAGCGGGCACGCCTTGGACCAGCACCAGCACCAGCACCAGCCACATCACCACCAGCACCAGCCACATGACCTAATGCGCTCACGTTTGTAACGTGGATGTTACATGATCTGCCGAGTGTAACACGGCCACGTGCAGTCTACTGACGTGTGCGACAAATCGGATAACGAGCACTCAACCTGCGAGAGAATCAGAAACCGAGCACTCACACCAGCGAGAAATCAGATAACGAGCGCTCAAACCTGCGAGAGAATCAGAAACCGAACACTCACACCAGCGAGAAAATCAGATGACAAATGCTCGCGCCTGTGAGGTGCCCTTGGGGAGCAAAGTCACGTGCGCAGGAGAATATTGTCCAATTAAGCGAGGCCACGTGTGCCAGACGGACTGGCTGCCAGCACTCACGTGTGCGAGATGACCTGCGAGTAGAGGATGCAAGGGCAGAGAAAGCAGAGTGCTGCCGGTCCAGATACCGACAATGCCCACGATGGCTCCACGCTTACTGAGCCGCCGTCGCAGCGGGTGCAGGATGACCAGATACCTGCGGGGAAAACAGAGCGTGTCGGTCTGCCGCAGCACACACGCGAGCGTGCATACACCCCGAGGCGCGGGAGGACCCGAGGTACCTGGCTGCAGAGGTTATCATCCTCCGGCCGCTGACTAATGTCCCGCAGCACATACACACACACACACGCGCGCGCGCACACACACTCACGGGCACAAAGGGGATGCAGGGCGGCAGATGCACACGTGCCTCCTTCGCGTGAAAGGCGGACCCGGCCAGGCGTGGCGGCTGCCTGGCCCAACGCGCAACAGGCATACGGGACTTCAGGAGGACCAAACACGTCTGACACCGCACAAAAACATCTACACTGTTCATCGCTGCTTGCTTGGCGGAGTGCGCTGCTCATCGCTGCTTATGTGATACTGCATACAGCTCACCGCTGATTGAGTGCATCCTCACCCTAACCCGCACTCAACAACTCCGCACCCAAGTATCCCGGCCCAGCATAAAGCGTAATACATGACCCAATACACGATACACAGTATAACACACGATCCAGTACCCGTCTTAGCACCTGGCCCAATGCACGACCCAACACGACCCCAACACCCGGTCCAACACACGACCCAACAGATGTCCAACACACAACCCCATACCTGCCTCCCTCGAACGCCCCTCCCCCTCCACATACACATGCACGCCGCCCCGGGCTGAGGCCACGCCTCCACGAACAGTTGCCAGGGCTGGTCGAGACGACCCCGCGAAGTGCCCCCGAGGCCGGTCAGGATTATTCGGTGCAGACGCTGGAGCAGTCAGCGAATCAATGCTCGGGGGAGCGACAAGCGCTTTCATGGCGGCTCAGAGCAAGCGGCCGCCGGTGAAGTTGGCAGGCTTCCGGCAGTCCTGCCGCCGGGGAACGTGGAGCCATGGGAAGTTCGGGGATGGGCAGGGGAAGTTCGGGGAAGCGCTGATGGGCGGCACTTTGTCGGCCCTCCTCGTGGGCCGGCGGACACAGGGGAGGATCGACAGGACGTGTCTGAGCCATGTTTGCCTGGATGTCGCACACGTGTTCCCGGGTCGAGGACTCGGGTCAAGTCGTGGCAGGTTTTATCGGGCTCGAGGTCCACTCTGGGTGCAGGCTCATCTTTGGGACTGATATGGTCCTGACCTGATCTGATCTAAGCCTGATCTGAACCGGATCTGATCTGACTGACCTGAATGACCTGAAACTGATCTGATCTGACCCTGCGCGATGCTGGACGTTACTACCTGAAGCCCTGAGCGATCCTGAACTGAACTGATCCGCACTGATCGGAGCTGAATCTGAACTGATCTGAGCCTGTGTGACACTGAACGTTTTAAGCGATTATACCTGATATGAGCCCCTGCTCGATCTGAACCTGTTCTGCTATAATCACTGATCGAATCTGATCTGATCCTGATCTGAATCCGATCTGAACCTGATTCGATCTGATCTTATCTAACCTGATCTTATTTAGCCCGATCTTATTAACCTGATCACCTAAACTGACCTTATCTAGCCTGAATTGATCTAACCTGATCAGATCGGAATCTCATCTGATTAGACCTCATCTGATCTGATCTGATTTAACCTGATCTGAATCTGGTCTACCTGGCAGGCCGGCAGACACAGGCGCGGATCGACAGGGGACTGTAGGCACATGTGAGCCACGTTGACCTGGAATGTCACACCGTGTCCCGGAAAAGGGCGGAATAGGGCCCCGGGCCAGGTCGCGGAAGGCTCTTGTTGGACCCGAGGCTCACTCTGGGTGCAGGCTCATCTCTGAAACTGGCCACGTCTACCAGATCAGGAAACCCTTCGTCCCGCCATCAGTCGGGGTGGGGAGGGGAGACGGGGAGGGGGGGGGGGGAGTGCTGCCGTCCCACCCTTACCTGGAAAGGTTAAATGATAAGGTTAACCATACCGCATCTCGAGCAAGAAAGCTGCCTGAACACGTGCTTGCCCACTTGTTGCCTGGCTGTCATTCTCCTGGTTTTTCTCCGAGGAATAAGGCTAATACTACTATCTGCGCGCGGATAGTAGTATTAGCGCGCGGCGGGCACAATTTTTCTGTTCAATGTTCAGCCTGGTCCCGTCATTGCGGACCCCGCGCACGCCCCTGACGCCAGTGCGAAGTGCGCAGCAGCGACGTCATCGCAGCATCTGCCTGCGGGCCCGCAGCAGCTGCTGCCGGCGGTCGCCCAGCCGTATTACCGTCGCTGTCCGTGGCGATGTGTCGCGAGCGTGTTCAGCCTTCAAAGGAGCCGCGCCGACCGCCGCCCACCCTCGGGCGCCGCCGGCAGGTCACGTGGTGAGGAAGTAGCCGGCAGGAGGCGCCGGGCGGCCGAGGTCGGCTCCAACATGAGGCGGGGCAGGTGTGAAATTCCGATGAGAAGAATCCGGCGTAATGGCATGCGCTGGAATGCCCATAGAATGTCGCCGGGCGGGTTTCCTTCGCCACCGGGGTCAAAGGTCATTTTGCCTTGCAGGCTTACGAGCAAGCGTCGAATATTGGTTCTTCGGACCATGCTCATGGGTGCAATTGTGAACTTCCTTCACAAAGCCGACGACGTTACAGCAACTGAACTGCAGTTGCTTTTGCTACCCATTGATTTTGTGACCTTTCTTCCATCGCCCGTAAGGCTGCAAAGTATTCCTTGCTCAACCAGGTTTCCGATCCCCACCTGCCTAGTGATACTTGGGTGTCAGCTGCGGCCCTGACCCCTGTGTCGCTCCGTCTCTGCTCCGGTTCTGCTCCCGTGCAACTCCGGCGTTACCGCAGCACTGCCCAGGTGCTGTTATGGTGCTGAAATGGCGACGGCCTGATGGCGCTGCAGCGACGGTCTGGTGCTGCTTGGTGCTGCTCCGGTGCTGTTCCGGCACTGCTCTGGTGTTGCGGTGCTGCCCCGGTGCTGCTCCAGTGTAACTCAGGCGTTTCCTCTGGTGCTGTTCTGGTGCTGCTGCGGTGCTGATGTAGCCCTGCTCTGGTGCTGCTCTGGTTCTGCTCTGGTGGCAGTCCAATGTTGCTCCAGTTTTGCCCAGGTGCACCCCCGGTGCTATTCTATTACTGATTATACACTATTCTGGTGCTCCTCTGGTGCTACTCCGGTGCTACTACTCCGGTGTTGCCCCGGGGTGCTATCCATTGCGGTTCCGATACGAACCCAGCGTCGCCTCGTTGTCGCTGGTTAAGCCCTGGTTATTGTTGGCTTAAAGCCTCATTTGCCCCGTTCCGCCGTGGAGTCGTAGCATTTTGGTCTCGGAATTCTCCGGCATTACCTCCGTGCTGTCAAATAACCGCCACGCTGGACGTTCTTGACGGCTGCCAAACAACCACGCCCCTTGACCTCCACAATAAACTTACCCAAAATACTGAAGCCAGACTGAGAGGTGAAATGGTACGTGCTTGTCCAGCGCTTCGTCCATGGCAACACTGCACCCGTGTCCGACAGAGATATATGGGGAGGGAATTCATCAAAAACTACCGTAGTGCATCACAATTTCCATAACACATGACATGCAGCTCTCAGCCAGCAGGACATGCTGGGACAAATTGGCTTTTAAGCTTGACTCCCGACATTTCATAACGTGGGCTAGCGCCCGTGAGCTCGGTGAGTCCACAGCTCGCTCCGGTCGGCCAGCTGGGATTAGTGCCCCTCGACCGCTTAAGGTCATCTCGCTTCCACACCGTCCGCGCCATCAGAGCTCGCGCTCCTACACCGCCGCTGGGAGCATTCCCAAATGTGGCTTCATTCCGTGCCAGCCGCCAAGATGGGGTACGTGGCGAGCCAGCCAACGCGCCCCGCGGGTCATCTTTCGCCCGGGGTGGCTCGTGCTCTCACCCCGGCCGGCACATTACTGCCCGCGCCTCTGTCATTGGCACCAGAGCATGACGGCATCGGCATGTGCATTTTCGCACGCTGGGTAATCAGCCGGTTAGCCGAGACCGGTCAATAGGCCAGGCGGTAGACTGAACCAATGGTAGCGTCTCTCAGTCAGATGCTCATGAACATACGAACGCGCTGCACGTGACCCCCAGCAAGGGTCATGACCGTTTCCTGCCGGGGGGATCCGTGAGGGCGAAAGGTCATGTCGTTTTTCCCGTACGCTCAGTGCGTATTTTGACCAGGGAACTTCCTCCCAGGGAAAACCGCATGGGGGAAGTCACTTCTCGTCGCCGACAGTTGGCTTGGGCGCGTAGTGTCAACCGCGTGTTTGTGAATATCAGGCGAAATTCGCACAGGGTGTCAAACCAACGCCAGGGCTATCAAATCAATGCTGGGAGTTATCATATCAATGTCGGCGGTTATCGAATCAATGCCGGGTGGACTGGCTGATCGGCGCGAGGGCCTTAACCCTAAAGACAGGACATCCAGGCATTGCATCAGATCGGTGGTTCTGAAGCGATCAGATCGGATCGCTTCAGAACCACAGATCGAATGATGTATCAGATCGGTGATTCTGAAGCGACTCTGCATGATGGTGAAAAAATTGCCTTGCCTCTCGTCATTTGCAGAAGTCGGATATTTGCGTCGAATATAGCGCAGGATGACTTGCTTACATTGGCCACTTGCCAGCATTTGGAGACTCCAATTAATTATCAGATCGGGGGAGCCCATCATTCATGGGGTTATTGCATCATACCATGCTGATGTTCCTTCTGTCAGGCGCACTCGCACGAGCGGATGGAAATTCTGGCCGGTTTTTTAAAGGTGGCAAGCTTGGGTAAATTTTAGTGTCTTATTGAACTTTATCGGTGTTGAGCACAGCCAATGCTAGCTGTGAGTACGGTTACTTTGGCCAGATGGAAGAACTTCACTTTTTACAGTCTTAGGGTATGCTCAGCAACAGCAACAGATGAATGCCGAAAGCCTGTGTCCGAACACGACTGAGCTGGTACGAAACTCATGGCTTCACTGCTTTCAGTTAAACAAAATCCTGGAAAGTAATAAGAGAAAGCCGGAACAGCAAGAAGAAAAGCCATTTAACCAAAGCGCATCCCTCTCGGTTCGCCATGACAGGTCTCACAATCCTCGCATTCCTCCATCTTTGCACCAGACAGAGCACAGCGGGTCGATGCCGCGTCCAACCAGGCTGCTGCAAGACTCCAACTAACCTCTCCAGGGCGATGGCCATCAAGGTGAGAACGCTGGCGGCCACCGTCAAGTTGGCCATGAAGTTGTTCAGCACGCAGTAACTGGCGCCGAACGGCCAGTTGGCGTTCAGCATGTACACGAAGTTGAAGGAGCAGTTGAGGCAGGACATCAAGAGGTTGGCGACGCTCAAGTTCACCAGGAAGTAGTTCGCCACAGTCCGCATCTGGCGATGTGCTGAAACAGCGGCAGAACAAATTGCTTCACGCCTAGTCCAGTTCTGCTTGGTTCGGTTCGGTTTGGTTTATTTCCCGGTTTGATTCAGCGCGATTTGGTTCAGCTCGGTTTGTTTCAGTTTCATTTGATTCAGTTCGGTTTGGTTCAGTTTGGTTTGGTTCACCTCGGTGTGGTTTAGCTCGGTCTTGTTCAGCTCGATTTGGTTCAGCTTAGGTCAGTTCATGCAATTACATTCGATTTGGTTCCGTCCAGATCAGTTTATGCAATTACAATCAATTCCACACCTGAGTGCTAAAGAGAAGATGATTATGATCATGATGGCCAATGCCGACAGGCAATGAACATATTTACAGACAGATGAATTGCATTTCTCAATCCGTGTAGGGTCTGCGATGCTCATCTGGATTGAGCAATCAATTCAGGGGTTATGGATTTATCCGTGTTGTTTCAGGTGACGACTTAAATTTTCATCTGGATTGACTATACTCTATAGTATACGGCCATCCTCAATAAGCAGTACCACGTGTGCCATCACACATCATGGGGCACCATCCGCTGCCATCGGGTACTATGGCGATAACTAGTGCCACCTCCGATGTTGGGAAACCCTGGGCCAAGTGCCAAACGAATTGAAAGGAACATGCAGCCTCCTTGGAGCTGAAATGCAACGAGCTGGTGGCATACCTCTGACATGGCGTCGATCTCACGGCAGCGACCGGTGGCTTTTTACAAAGACATTTTTTGTTGTGAATAGCGGCTGTTTTCAAGGCTTTTTTCATGGCCGCCACTCAGGGATCGTCTGATCCGCCTCCTCATAGCAATTTCCACCAGAGGGCTTGATGAAAAACCCCACCTACCTCCAACAAGTTCTAGCGGCAGGAAGTGGTGCAAAGTACAAAGCTATACTTCTATTTCCTATTTCCTACCTATTTCTATCTATCTACTTCTGTTTCCTACCTATTTTTGGTGAGGGGCTGACCTTAGTGGTGCGAAGTACAAACCTGCATGTATTTCTTGGTAGAAGCAGATTTCACTTTTGCCGGCCTTAGCACAAATAAGCTTCGTTTTTGGCTAAGGCTTAGAAGACATAAGCCTAGAATTAGGCTAAGATGGTGCAACATTCAATTTTCAAACGGACACAAACGGAGGACCATCAAATTCATTCACTGACCAAAAGACAGATCAAAATTACATCTGGCATTTATTCTTCATGTGTTAGAGTCATTTCAGCTACTCAAGGGAATGACGGCGAGAAAAAACCTGGTGGGACAGGAATGGATCACTCCAAGGAGAGACGAAGTTTCAGCTGCGCAAAGCAGCAAAGACCAGGCGAAACATCGCATCCAGTTTTCCAAGTCAGTCATCTGGAATAGTTTGGAACAGTGCCGGAGAATTCCCGCATGATTGCTGCACAGTTGCTTCGAGAGAGATATTTGAGCGCGAAGTCCTGCCGAGGTCATGCGATTTGACATTTAGCTCAACTCGTGTTCCGTTCAGCAAAGGTCAGGCAAACGGTTATTGGACAAGGATTGATGGTTTGCTCCCCGGCAGTGGCAGCAGGATAGGCGCTTTACCTAACATGAGCTAGCCCATGAGCCATCCTGCCAGGTGTTCAGATGACGCACTTATGCCCACATGTTCGCCGCACGGGCCTTCATGGCTTGTCAGGTGGGCTCATGTGGGCTAGATTTCTCGTGAAGGGAGCATACTGATCGCTCAGCTTGTTAAATGCCACAACTCTTTTAAATGCCAGGATTTCGATAAATAACAGAATGCCAGTAAATGCCAAAACACCGACAAATGCCAGAATACTCGTAAAAGGCACTCGTCTGGCATATCAAATGCCAGAATATTCGTAGTACAGGAAAAAGTGTATAAGTCCTGTATCGTAACTACCACAAACTTATCAGTTTTACCTTTTTAACACTTCACTAGCGTAGTTTTACGGAAAGATTGAAACGGAGCACCAGCACCACAGAAAAAAAGCTAAGTGATGCATAATTATTGCATCTTTGTAATGAGAAATTCGAATAACTGTTCGGACTATGGCCCTCGGTGTGACAGCTGAGAAAAGCGCGAACACAGCCGAGTGATAATGTCCTGAAGACGGCATGTTCACAAAGGCGATCACCCTTTATGTAAGGGGTCTACGTGCACGATATCCACGTTTCTGAGCTCGTTGGAGTCTCATTCACACGCATTGGAACCAACCCTAGCCGCGGCACAGCTTCGTTTTCTGACAAATGAACCCGAATCCAGCTCGAACGTCCTCCGCTTTCATCCATTCGTGACCGGTGATCCTCGATCACGGGCCTTGCCACCGGAGATGGGACTGCAGAGGACCAGCAGGCTTCGCTGACCAGCCACCATCTTGATCACGGAGTTCGGCCTCAGCGGCTTCAGCGGCTTCAGCAGCACATCAGTCGGAGGTGGCTACCCGCCCATGCCAGGTGCAGTCGACTACCTGTCCACACCAGGTGAAGTTCCCCAGGCAGAGGTGGCCAACTGTCCACAACAGGCGTAGGAGTTTGTCCACCCGTCCACTGTCCACCCGTCCACACCAAATAGAGGTAGCTACCTGTCCATACCAGGTGGAAGAGGCCACCTGTTCCACCAGGTGGAGGTGGCCCCCTGCAATGCGAGATTCGAAGCTGGCTGATACCCCAACGCTCAGCGGGAGAACATGCCAATAAGAGGTCAATCGATGGTGGGTGGCCCAGCCAGTTTGCAATAAGCAAGGGCAGACGCGACAAGTTTTGTGGCATGCGTGCTGAATGCTTGCTCTCGCTATTCTCGGCTTTTCGAGTGGCGCGCCACATTATGGCTGTTGCGGATGTCGGGCGTATATTGCATACTGATATGACCCGTAAAACATTTTGGAAACGCACTAATTAACTGTTCCAAGAACAAGAAATCTGCTACATGTTCTCCACGCTTGGATGGAGAACTGTGATGAAAACAGGAGTTTCCCTTACTTTGATGCCTGGAATTCTTTGACGATGTTCGGGACACGACGAAGCGGGGCTATTTGGGTTACACTTTTGAAAGAGTAAGATCCCAGTTTGCCACCAGGGAGGGGAATACCCCTGGCCTCCACTGATCACGAACTGGGGTTATTTGGATCGTACCGTTGAAAGAGTAGGGTCGCAGTTGCACGGGGGGTGTGAGGAACACCCATGGCCTCCTCTGATCACGCTCCTTAGTTGGACGTATTCTCCCCGATTTTCATGTTTTCTCTGCTTCTCAAAGGACCGCAAAATAACATGGCGACATTTACGTCTCATCCTGTTCCGCGTACCCGCAGTTCATTCCAAGTGAATGAGATAACATCTGTTTAGAGCTAAAATTACATGAGGTACGACTCGCGAAGAAGATAACCAAATTGAAATCACGAACCTCGACGTTGCGGTCGGAACACGAAATTAAACAAAGAAGCCGTAAGTCCAAATGCTCATTTAATTTCGTCATGCGCACAGCTCGGCTTGCAGAAGCCGTGGCGATATCGGGCGGTGCCGGAACCGAGCTGCCAGGTATGCAAATGCCCTGCGTCACTCTGACAGCCGGATGCGAGCATTGCTAAGGCGCTGACCTCCTCTTGACGCGCTCACACAGGGCGGCACGATCGCAGCACAGCGACCGGATCGCCGGTCGGCCGATCGCAAAGCGCGCGGGGTAAAGGTCGTCACGGGCCCTGAAAGTGGTAACGTCATCCCAATGCTCCACACAGCCACGCTTCAGCCCCAGTGACCATTGATTACACGGTGATTGGGTCACCTTTGTAGACGTAGGCCTAGATGGCCGTTCCGAGAGTTTCGAGAGCTAGATTTCCGTGCTCGTGTGTCGGAAGCAATCGCGGTGTTCAAGTGGTCTCAGTCCAGTATCTCCACAACCGGTGAGGGATGGTGCCAACACTATGCGCACGCCCCCGAGCCAAGTCTGGCTACCAACTGAACCACCTGTTGAACTCAGTGGATGTGCCAGGCAGCGCCCCAACCCCCCTCAAGGCTGAGAGAAAGCGCAGGACATGAAGGGAGTCAATGTACCTTCCGGTTTTGGGTGTAAAATGTCGGAAACCCTTTTAGAGATAGGAATCAGCGGAGTCGTATGCTTTTACCAAGCCTGATGTGTGTTTTTAGTTTCTACCACAAGAGTGTATGACCGTTGGCGAAGTTCAACAGCTTTGTGGCAGACGAACAACGCGGTACATGGTCGGAAATGCTAACATGCAAGGATGACGTTTTCTTGACGACCTTGTGCCCACCGAGCGTGGCAAGGCTGTTTCTGGCTGGTTTAAAGTTCGAGGAGTGGCGGCTGAATAGTATTAGACAGCAAAATGGGTTTCCTTCTATCGGCATTTTTGATGGATACTTGATCAGGACGATCAGGACTTGCTAAGCGCAGACAACGAAGCGGTCATCAATTGTTCAAGTGGTCGTGGTCATCTTGGCATCCTGTGCCGGCGCCATGGTTATCCGTCGGCATGGGATACCAAGGAACCGTGCGGCAGGCGTGATGAGAGGTCGTAGGCGAATATTTCAAAGACAATAGGGCACAACAAAGATCCCTGAGTGACACCGTGAAGAAACAGAAGCTGAGAACCACTCTGGCGCTAAGTTAAGAGCCTCCTGACACTGTCCATCGAGGTAACTCCGGATGAGTGGCGGACCGCCGCCATGCCGCCGGAGCCCCGTTCCAAAGGCGCCGTGGTCGACGCCGTCAAACGCATTATCGATGTCGATGCAGGTGACAACAGCGACACGCTCCGTATTGACGCGACGCGTCAGCGCTCGATGGACTGAAACGGGGCCTAGTTTACACACATATTTTAGAGGGCAAGCAACAGGGATGCGTTAGATTACTAGCAGTGTCACGAGATCCCGACTTCTCAGCCTGAAGAACCAAAGCCACCTTTCAAGAGCAGGGGGAACAGGAGACCATTGAGGCGTTTGCTCATTTGCGGGGCTAAGCAAACGAGCTCCTATGACAGCGAAGCATTGTTTCAGTGCGTTCGGTGGTAAGCCATCAAGCCCAACGACTTTTGAAGAGGATAGATCACTCATTGCCTTTAAAAACTTGGACGAAGCCGCCAGACGCCACGTAAAGCTGGGTTTTGACGTGCGACGGTAGCCCCTCCCCCGAAGGGGGGCCTACCGGTGCTGCCCACCGCATGCTCTGCAATAAAATTTGCATCCGATCATGTTTTCTTGGTCGAGGAGATAGGTCTGAAAGTGCAGTTCTACCCTTGGCCATGTCACAAAAAGACCAGGAGCAGAAGTGTCAGTTGTAAATAAAAGACAGCCGGCGCACAGTGCTATGCTAGAGGACCCGGCCTGTTAAGCGGTTAAGACACCCTGTGCCTAATACAAGCCATGGAAACTATTTAGATACTTTGAAAAAACATAGCTGCATAAAAGCCTGACATAGCGTATTGACAATTAGTGCAGCATGTAAAAAGATCCTTACGTCCTACGACCACTCTTTCTTCAGCAAACGACTAAATCACTGAATAGACCGATTGCCTATCAACAATAGCATAGCAACAGCCTACATATTTCTTCTTAGCTCGCTGTTTGTCAACTTGGTGATCTTCTAACACCCACCTGTTGCCCTACCGCATGGCGCCAATGCATACTTTGCTCTCGTCCATCACTACGGATTTTTCGTAGCCGTTCGCCAATGCTGATGATCTGCGCTCAACATTTGCGTCCAATTTTGCGCCCGAGAATCCGCGCCGTTGGAGAGCGCCGCCGGTGCGGGGTGTTGAGCCGCCCGTGCCCGGCACCTGCGCGCGCTAATTAGACGAGCCGAGATGAGGATCGTTAAGGCGAGGGGAGAGCGCCAGCTGGTGCTTACCCCAGCACTTCCGGGACGGCGGCGAGATGGCCACCAGGGATTGCCCAACAAACCGTCGGGGGTTTTGCCCCGGGGTGCGTGGGGTGGGTAGGGGAGGGGACGGTGCGTCCAGCCCACTTGAGGCTTCGGATTTATTGTAGTGATACCCATGTGCTGTGCATATGTCCTATACCTATGTGCTATGCATAGCTATGTGCCATGTGCTGGCAGTTGAACCGGCGAACTCACTCAGATTCTCGCCCCGAGCTGCAGGGCTAGCCCACGTTACTCTACAACGGTGCTGAAAAAAACTTAAAGCTCCCGTCGCAAACAAGATCAACACATTTTGCCAAAACGGGACACACTTGACCGAGCTGTTGAAGAACAGCAGAGACCGTCTTGGACTGTCCAGTGTCTCGTGGGGTGCACAGCATGGTGAAGGGCCGGCCGAGGAGATTTCATTCGCTTTGGCCGTTAGTTGCCCTTGGACATTTTGGTGAGATAATTATCTGGGCCTTCTCAGCTCGTGGGGAGGCATATTGACTGACCGCTGTGAGAAAGGGAGGACAGGAGGTTCAGGAGGGTTGGGGGGAGTGGGGTGAGAGGAGCGAAGTGTTGTAGATGTGCCGTGACCACGATTCATAACCAAATGTGCCTGTAAAAGTACGATGTCCGCACTAGGTCGTGTGGATTATGCACCGAAGTAAAAGGTGTAAAATCCGAAATCACACGTACCTGGATATTGTGACACCAAAGTGTTGTCGGGTCATGCCAAATTGATGTTCACGATACCAAAACAAGTAAAAATTACAAGAAGAAATCGCAAAAAAACGAGAATGTTGAAACATGCCAGTTATTTAAATGCCTCCTATGCCCGTGTGCACGAAGCTGAACTGTGCAATAAACTGGAAAAGACAAAAGGGCTGGTTTTGCCAAATTGATGTTAACAATATCAAACCAGACGTCAGCGCTTTGAAAAGCGCTTTTCTGATGAAATGGAAAGAGCCGGGAGAGAATGGGAGGGTACGATCCGCTTCCTAACTCGTAAGAAATGAGCACGAAAAGCTGTCAGACAAAGCCTCTGAAAACAGAGTACCACCGACAGCTACCTACTACGAGCAGTGTCTTGAACATCACCAATGTCTACCACCAACAGTGTCTTGTCTACAGCTACCACCACAGTGTCTACAGCGTCAACAGCGCCAACAACTGCTATCAACAGTGTCCGGCGAACCGCTGGATTGATAATTTCCAGGTATGCATTATCATATCACTCTTATGATTTTATTTATTACATTACGTGTTTCCAGTTGATCATTATCTGGTTAGACTTCTTATATCTTAATTGCACTTTCTTTTGATCATAGCAATGCATCGCCGATGGCCCCGATTTCATGATTACTTTGCCGGTTCCTCCGAACCCATAGGCTTTACCTGCGGGGTACAACTCGATTATCTGAAACTGAGCTGCCATCATTTACGGAACCATTCAGGGCCTACAACATGTGACTAGAGCACATGCAACGTATGAACTGACGTGATGACGTACAGCGATCAAAATCAACGCTAATGCAATACGATATAGAAACATCCTTACCTCACCAAAATGTCCTGCCTCGACTCGCATTGTAGGGCGGATTATTTTTCCAAATAATCGGTCGGAAATGACTCTAAGATTTCCGTTCCGAGGACAAATACGTGGATAAAGGGGGGCTCTGCGATTAACGTGCCGACGATGTCTCCGAGTAGGCTACGTGAGAACGTCCTTATAGGTTACCACAACGATGACGACTCTCGAGCTGCCTCATCAAGGACTACTCTCATGCAACTTCAAAGACGTTCGCTTCCAAAGATTGCTCACCAATAACAACTTCTAACAGACATGCCAAAGGACGCCTTTCGCAATAATGAACTGAGCAAAATCCTACCTCACGGCACGTCTCTGGATTCAACTCACCGAGGATGATCCAGCAGACGATGATGTTGCCGCCGATAGCCACCAGCAGCATCAGAACGAAAGCCGTCATCCACACTGCCCACGGCAGCCAAGCCATCTCAAAAGGCCTCATATCACCGCCGCACGCCACGTCACCGTCCATGACGTCAGCGTCGTCTGCCGTGACGTCAGAGGCAAGTTGGTGACGTTCCCACAGCAGCCGGCTGCCGCCATCTTGGTTGAGGATTTTTTGATGGCGAGCGGAAGCCGCGCGAGGAATGTTGACGTAGGCGACGCTCGCCAAGAGCCAGGCGCGTGGAAGCTGCCCTGAAGCTCTAGGACGAGAGACTGCAAGTCCTGGTGGCTGTAGCCTCCTGGTGGCTGTAGCTCCTGGTGGCTGTAGCTCCTGGTGGCTGATCGTGGCTGAGAACGTGCGTCCCGCCCGCGGGTCGAAAGGTGCGAGGAGGCGTCGCGGCAGACTGAGCCTGGAACGAGGTGGGCAGCGGAGACATCAGCGGATGAACTTGACGTTGTAGCGGAAAGAACGTCATGCTTAACGTTTATGTTATGGTGACAGTGAGCGGTGTGACTACGTTTCCTGTCAGCAAGTCCGTAGCGGCAGTACTGATGCTACCCAAAGCTTCTTGCAGTAGTCAGCCGTCAATGCTCACTTCAGCATTTGCCGTTTTTGACGCGCTGCAAAAGCCGAAGGATGAGTGCAACAATTGCAGGTGCTTAAGGTGTCGCTCTGTTTCGGATATCTGTACACACAAAAAAACTGATACAGATATTGCGTGGTGCTGCAAGAAACAACATGTCTCGACAGTTTTTATTTCTCAGCTGTCCTTCGATGGCCAGGAGCATGCATGTCTGCTAGGCCAGGTAATAGAATGGTGGAGATGATTTTCGCATAGTTTTTGGCTTGGACGGGAGTCCTAGAGTAGGTGCGCTGTATCACCAAGGCGGCGAATCGCCCAAAGAGCAACCTTGAAGCACAGTGTGCCGAAACCTGTCAGGCATTAATGACAATTTTGGCATCCTTTGTTTCTTTGTTTGCATCAGGTAATGGCACTGCTGTGTGATGCACTGCTCGGACGATTATCGTAGGAGTGTAGACCCACCACTCGGCACCTACTCCCCGAAAGAGAGAAAGCAAGTGAATTCATCCGCACCAACAGGACGAGACGAACACCATCACCCGATGTGTGTCTGTCAATGCGTTGGGCCGCACTTACCCGCCCCACTTATGCACACCCCACATACATACGGTCGCGCATGCGCACATGACGTGAACCGCTCCGTGATCCCGGCGGTTTTCGACGCGATAAGTCGTGCTTCAGTGCGCGACCAAGCCTAGCGGAAGGCGGGTGTACCTGGGCACGGGGAAGGGAGTTATGCTGTGTAGCGGCTCAGCCATCTAAACGCTTCCCTCGCACCTTCGTGTGTGACCTTGGGACGAGCAGATCTTCATTCTGGCATGGTGGGCGGTCTCTGGTTTAAGAAAGCACCTAGAACTCACTGGCCAGCGTTTCCGGCTCACCGGAGCGCAGCGTCTTGCGGAGAAGCGTCAACGCGTGGAATTCGGCCAGACCTTTCGCAGAGAGCCAGCCGGGATTACACCTCTACACCAGAATCAACGTATTTCGTGAGGAGAATCGTAACTGTATCGTTGTGGGACGCAAAGAGGGCAGTTTAGTAGTCGCACTTTCAACTCTATACAAACAGCTAATACCTCTACAAATAGCGTACGCACGAGGTGGAAGGAACCCCGCGTCGCTCGCTTGACGCCTGAGGCGTATTAGACCTTGTAAAGCTTCCACGCCAAGTGGTAGCTGGCCGTTGGCGCATGTTCTTTAGCTGAGGCCGCGTACCCCGCTGGGGAATTGATGGGGGCTGCGCCGGAATAAGCCAGCGGCGGCGGCGCCAGTTCTGTCTCCATTTGGCGCGCTCGTCTGGGGTGAGCGACCACTCAGAGCGGCGGTGCCAGGGCCATTAGCGGGTGCCTCTGTCGGAAGGGCACCTAGATTCCTACTGAGCGGGATTGCGTCGGTGGGGGTCGATGCATTCCACAAGGATGCCCTCGATGTGCTTGACGAGTCGAGCTTTTTTCGAGCCGAGATTCGACCTTTGATTCTATTCGAGATTCGAGCACCAAGATTCCGTATCGAGGTCACGGTTCGGAGGGCTGGCTGACCAGATGTTGGCTTTTTAGTTTGCTTCTAAGTTGGGTGATGGGTGGAGTGATAAGTTGGTTCGTTCGTTGATTAATTGTTTGACCATTTATTTTCTTGGTTGGTTTGTCGGTTGGTTGGTTAGTCGGCTGGTTGTTCGGCCGTTAGGTTGACTGAATGGTTGGCTGGTTGATTGAATGGTTGGTTGGTTGGTTATTGACTGGCTGGTTGGTTACGTAGGTGAATGGTTGGTTGGTTGGTTGGGTGGTTAGTTGCTGTTTGCTTGGTTTAGTTGCAGATACCAATAACCCTGCTTGCAAGGATTATCAGTTAATTCTCAGACCATTATCGTCAACTGGATTACAATGTAGACCTCAATTCAGGAAGAATGATTGCAATCCTCAATGCAAGTTTTGCACAGTTTTGCAATGGTAACAAATCATGGTTAAAAGCAAACGTTGTTACAACTTAAATGCCCTCACTATAGATGATTATGGTTTGGACGAACGTAACCCAACTGATGGCTGGTGTCTACGCTTTTTTGTCACCCCAGGATAGCGTCTCGAAAATGTGCCTCTATGAGAACAATCTCCCAGCTTCTGAAACTTCCGTCGTTATCTTCTGGGATGGCGCTCTGATTACTTCAAATGGACTTTGAACATTGACCTCTCATTGACCTTGAGCTTGAACTTGACCTTGACCTTTATATTTATTTTGCGCATTGACCTTTCAGAGGCGAAGCACCGTCAGCTTGTTGTGTGATTTCGACCATGAGCGTTCATTGGACACCAGAACTGGGGATAACCACGAAGGCGCTGGAAGATATCCCCTGTAACGATGCGCCCTAGTAGCCTGGCCAGCTGCCCGTATCCAATGAGCGTCTCAGTGGGCCAGAGAACGAGGTCACATGACACGATGCTGATTCGATAACGACGGGATGAGCCTTATCAAAGATATTGGGTTCTGCGGACAAGTACAATACATGATGGCCTCGTGCCGATGAGAACAACCGGGCAAAGCTGAATAACACTATACGTATAGATCACAAAGATGTGCATTTCTAAGGGTAGAGTAGAATCGGGCGTGGACGGTAAAAATTTAGGATTACTTCAGTGTACTAAGCAAATTCCATTAAAACTGTTTATGACGTCACGTACAATCCTCACAAAATGAGCGCAATCCGAGCTCTGCAATTGTGACATTTCATTTTCACTTAACCAGGCTGGTTGTTTAGTGCTGCACATCGAAGCAAACCCATTCTTCGTCTAGCACCACAGACACGGTCCGCCGCCAAGAGCCGACCAAAAGGCTCTGCGCTCTCCCCGCCCCTCACGACTCCCTCGACCGGGCCCGCCTTCTTAATGGTGATCCACTTCACTTGGAATTCGGCCGAAGAATTGTGCAAGATCGGCGAGATGCATCTCACTCCCAGTGCCGAGCCAACCATTCTGTGGTCAGCAAGAGCAAACAATGCGAAGGCGGCAGAGCCACCTCGTGTGTTAGATGCGACCGACTCATCCTTTCGACCTTGCGACCCCCCACAAAAGTTAACAAGTTCCAGGACCGCGACCAGGGCGGACAAACGAGCCTCAGCGAGACAGACGCGGGGCTCAATGCCTACGGACAGAGCGCACGATCTCGCGTGCTCCACCGCTGGCCCGCGGCCCGACGGGTCAGCGTGCTGGGCTCCGGACGAGCGACCAGCTCCACCCAGCGCCGCGACCAGCGCGCTGCCCGCTCTCGCCACCCGCGGCGCGGCGGCCGGAGAACGTCGGCCCGGTCCGACGCACCGGAATTGGTCGCTAGAGCAGGGAGAGATCACTGGTGCAGAGAGAGGTCACGGACGCCGGGAGAGGTCACTGGCGCAGGGGGAGGTCACGGACGCCGGCAGAGATCACTGGCGCAGGGAGAGGTCACGGACGTCGAGAGAGGTCACCAGTGCAGGGAGAGGTCATTGACACGGAGAGAGGTCACTGGCGCAGGGAAAGGTCACGGACGCCGGGAGAGGTCACTAGTGCAGAGAGAGGTCACTGGCGCAGGGAAAGGTCACTGGCGCAGGGAAAGGTCACTGACGCGGAGAGAGGTCACTGGCGCAGGGGAGGACACTGACGCAGAGAGGTCACTGACGCGGGGAGAGGTCACTGACGCGGAGAGAGGTCACTGACACAGGGAGTCACTGGCGCAGGGAGAGGTCGCGGACGCCGGGAGAGGTCACTGGCTTAGGAGAGTTCACTGGCGTAGGGAGAGGTCGCTGACGCGGGAGAGGAGTAGAGATATCACTGTGCAGGGGAGGTCATTGACGCGAGAGAGGGACTGGCCAGGGATAGGTCACTGACGCGGAGAGAGGTCACTGACGCAGGGAGATCGCCGGCGAAGGGAGAGGTCACGGACGCCGGGAGATGTCACGGACGCCGGGAGAGGTCACGGACGCCGGAGAGGTCACGGACGCCGGAGAGTCACTGGTGCAGGGAGAGGTCGCTGTCGCGGAGAGAGGTCACTGGCACAGGGAGAGGTCACGGACGCCGGGAGAGGTCACTGGCGCAGGGAGAGGTCGCTGACGCGGAGAGAGGTCACGGACGCCGGGAGAGGTCACTGGCGCAGGGAGAGGTCACTGACGCGGGAGAGAGGTCACGGACGCCGGGAGAGGTCACTGGCGCAGGGAGAGGTCACTGACGCGGAGAGAGGTCACGGATGCGGGAGAGGTCACTGGCGCAGGGAGAGGTCACTGACGCGGAGAGAGGTCACTGGCGCAGGGAGAGGCCATTGGCGCAGGTGGCACACCTCAGGCACCGGAACAGCTCAACGATGACCAGGCGGGCTGCGATGACGCAGAGGTCATGTCGCTCTCGCAATGAACATGTCGGAGAGAAATCGAATTTGCTGCGGGGGCATGTCGGTCGAAAGTAAGGTAATACGTGGCATGTTAAACAAAGTACCGACAAGATGG